CATATCACTAAACCAAACAGACCGACAGGCAGACAGACGGACGAGAAGACAAATCCCTATCACTGTACACCCTTCAGCATTCCAATCAGGGTATTACAAATACTCTCTTTATATATTAAAAAGTAATCTCATCTAGAGCTACTGTGAGCAATTGGCTCACTCAAAAGTCTCCCGCCTCCGATATTAATATGATGGCAGTATCCATGTTTTGCTGTGGGAAAGTCTCGGTAAATCTGATTTAGTGGTATGAGAGAACTTGCAGATGCACAAAGCGTAATAGAACAGACGGATGGACATGCTGATTACTATATACCCTCCTGCTTTTCATGGGGGGGGGGGGGGTATAATAAGATCACATATCTGACATGATTTATTTACACAACCTAGTTGAGATATATATGTGATAATACTTTGTATAATAAAAGCGGATTTTGTTGGTACCTGATGTTATGTTGATATAGATACATATAAAAGTGTATCTGTTTAGGTTGCATGGTGGATATAAATCTCCATTTTTGCTTGTGTTGAAATAAAAAAGGTATGTACATCAAACTCTTGCAAGTCTTATTAAGGAATTACCGTCTTATGTTTTGGTTTCATGATGTAATCAATCGAGTGGTTTGTGTGATTATTTGCATAAACACTGAAGAAGTTCATGTATTACATTTTCATGCTAGTCAATTGATTATGATTGATCATCGTCATGAAACAAAAAAACTGACAATTGTTCCTTATATTTATTACATGCACTATATTCTGTCCTGCACGGTTTTTTGCCCGTGTATTTCGATGAACCAGTATATTTTTGACGAAATAAAGTACACGTATATTTACTATTAGTATTTTTATCTTAGACAAAGACATTGGAAATGTAAATATTGTGTGTTGTTATACCCTTATAAATATCCTTCTATATATTTATTACCAATAAAAAGTCCAACAAAAGGAATGTTTATTACGTCGGTCTAACAATTTCACTATTGACCGGTCTTACATAAGAATTGTTAGACCGCAACGTCACTCGTTTGTTACGTCACAATTAATAATCATCGTTCAATATCGGCGACGCGAAAACAGCCGAAGTTAAGAGCTACAAGAGTTGTTGCTAACAGCTAGGTAGGGAAGAAGGAAGAATATATTTTGTGATAAATAATTTTTGTGATACAATAGATATATAATTGATTTTTTTTCTTTTTCAGCTTGATGTTTTATATTTACTGAAGAAGCCATAATTTTCCATACAAAATAATTAATAATATAGCGTGTAATGATTAAATTGATCACTCTTAAGTGAGCAGTGAAGGGTATAACAAAACAGTCATAGACTGGGATTCGGGCAACATATGATTTGTTGGACCTGAAGGTGAAAATGTTGCCCTTGGCCTGCGGCCTCGGGCAACATTTTCACCTTCAGGTCCAACAAATCATATGTTGCCCTCATACCCAGTCAATAACTGTATAATATATTTATGAGTAAAACTGAAAATAAAATGTCAATCATTTATTTTTATTTTAAACATTTTTTTTATTGAAGAAGCTGAAAGGACTATATATAACACAGCGTCTCTGAAAATTTCCATGTTTTCTTGGATAATTTTTTATTTGCATATAATGGAATGTACTGTGGTTCAGGCATATAGGATAGTCAATGCGGCAGAAATAAAACAGGAATCTATGCCAAGGACAAAAGATGAGTGTTTGGCAATATGTGGGGACAGCTACTATGACTGTGTGTTGGTCGATTGTAATCAGGACAAGGACAACTGTGGAGATAGATGTACCTTATCATTTCGTCAGTGTTATAAAGATTGTGACAGATATGTTATCACAACTACTACAACAACACAAAGTTTACCCGAAAATGAAAACGATTTGTTCAAGGATGAAGACGTCTAAAAAGCATTTTGACATTGAATCTATTTGAAAAAAAATAAATAATCACATTTTTGTTATTTTTTTTCCATATCATTTGAAGAAAAACATTCCTAAAAAGGTGTTTGTTCTCTATCGTTTAATGTAAAATATGCAATAATGAAAGGGTATTTTATCATTTGAAATAGCAATGGGGTTGAAAAGGGGTAAGAAAATTGAAAAGATAAAAAAAATATTTTGTTCAAAGCAAAGAAAGATAACGCTACAAGAACAAAAGTTAATGATATAGATTAAGGCACAGTTAATCCTTTTATAGGGAAAATGTGTCAACGTGTTCATTCACATTCACTGAGTCTAGGTTTGATTTTTTTGTTTGAAATTTCCCATGATCGTTGTAAATCTGAAACTGCATTTAAATTTGCGAACTATAGCACTTGCTATTGCTAAATAATAAATATGCATTATAAACTGTTATAAGTTTACTTCCGATTTTTTTTATTTTATCCCTCAACGTTTCAAGAACTTATTTTTATCTTGTATTGAGCCCCGTTATTGGCAGACCTATTTTGGTATTCATGTAAAACAGAATGGATGAGAAAAAAAACTGAATGTCTAGATATATAATTTAAAAAAAGACGTTAATGGAATTCTTACTAAAAAGGTGTATGATAATTAAAGTGATAACTTTAACTTTTCGATCACCAACTTCCGTACTTTTGCAACAATATATCCATTTTATCTGCATACGGGGCTTATTTTTCTCATCTTATTTGATATACAAGAACATCCTATGTGTGAACATGACGAAGAAGTTAATGAAACAAGAGTATCAACTGTCTCATTTAAAGTCATCATTTTGAAAATTCTATGTTAATACAGAGAACTTGTCAGCAAACACATTCTAACAGTATCTCAAGTGTTGAATCAAATGGTGAGAATTTATTTACCGGTATACACTTAAGGTGGAATGCCACACCAACTTTTTATTTCATAGATCTCTGAGTCAACCTTTTTAAACAATGCTTATAGCATTGAAAGGCCGACATTAGCCCTTTATTATTTCATATGATTTTTTTTGTATGTTTTCATAGAAAATTCAAAAAAATATTTACATCCAAATTAGATGCTTTCTTGAAAAATATTTGCTGTGAATGAATGCATCACATTAATACCTAATAAAATATGTAAAGAAAAGTCGTATAGATATTATTTTTTATATATATATAAATATTTATGAAAATAAATCACAAAATTTGTGAATATTTTTTAAACTTGTGGTTAAAATCTTCTTTAAACCAGTCACAACCGGGGAGAACATGTTCATTAATCATATTCATATAGAAATTGAAACGAAATAGCCAAATTTTAGAGAAATTATTTTTTTCAATTTTGGTGAATTCCGATCAAAATTAAACCGATCCCAACCATAACTGTTCAATTATTGGAAATAAATAACATTCCCCCAAAGAGCACTAGTCTGATTAGGTGTTATAAGGCTTAAAACATTATTGAAACTGACAATAAAATAGATTTTTTCATTGTAAATACATGAAGAGGAATTAAATTAGCATTTTATTCAGTTTGTTTTAATTTTGATCGGGATCAGTTTAATTTTGCTCATGTTAGGTCCAATTATTATAAAAATTTATTTTTCTAAAATTTCTATTTTCGTTTATATTTTGAAAATATGATTGACAAACATGTTGTCATTAGTTGTGACTAGTTTTATGGTGTTTTTAACTATAGGTTTAAAAATATTTACAAATAATGTATTTTATTTTCATAAATAATTTTTTATAAAAAAAAATTAAAAAGTCTTACCAGCCTTTCTTTAGATATTTTATACGTTTTTCATATGATGCATTCATTTACAGCAATCTTTTAACTCAAAAACAACTTGCTTGGATATATAAATATTTTTTTTCATTTTCTTTGAAAAATTACAAAAATTTCATATAAAATAATCAAGAGCTTATATCGGCTTTTCAATGCTGACTATTGTTTAAAAAGGAAGACTCAAAGATCTATTAAATAAAAAGTTGTTGTGGCATTCCATCATAATTATGGATCGATTTTCCCCTGTTATTTCCAGGTCATGACAAGGACAGCGGGTGTGACCGATCGACGAAAATACTGATTGTTTTCTCCTTATATATGCATGTTACATGTATTTCATACTCTTAATGAAAAAAAAATTATCCAATTACTTGTGATACATCATCAAATAAAAAGCAACAAAACAGGGGTTTATTTCATATGAATGTCGCATCTCTATATGAGTGAAATAATTTTGATGATAAATTCTAAACGTTTATAATTCTATACTGTAGATTATGCAATTATAATTATTAATTCTGTCGGCAGTCGTAAACATTTCGTTTTAAGTATTTAAGTTTTTAACAAGGGCTGCAGAATAACAATGATCTCTGTGGTACCATTTGCAATTATTTACAACAGGTTTGGTCTTTAAATGTTTATTTCGGATTTTATGGGGAAATAAACTTGCAGTTTGAATGATTGAAGGAAAGAGGGAGACTTCTTAAAGTCAAGTGTAATTAATACTGCTACATATTAACAGCTATATCATGTACTCATAGAAAAAAATCACATGCTTGGCTTTCCAGAAAGCCTTAAATGTCTCAATGATAGCTTAATTTATGTACCAGAAAAATGGTTGTATGTAACATTAATTCTCAAATATTTCTCTATAATAAAACATTATGAGATTACGAATAGTATTCTTGCTCAAAAATCGATATAACAGTTCGAATTTTGGAACAGAGTAAACGAAGGCCTCAAAAAACAGAACTAGGATCATGTGCCTTGGAGGAGTGAGTATCCCCTGCCACCGTTGACTGCATTGAATTCATTGTGATGATCGGGAAAAAAGACTTTATGATAGGTTGCATTTGCTGATTAGTTAATTGTATCGACCATAGAACTTCTAAAGATGGTGACATTAATAATTACAAAAAAGTAAAAATATGTCTATGAAACTATAGACACGAAATTGAGACAAAATATGTGCAGATGTTTTTAACTTTTGTGGAAGTCCCCTATTCAAGGATGAAGTTTCAGTACATTCAGAGTACACAATGTAAACAGCTACATATGAAAATGAAAGTAGATTAAACAATTGGGATTTACCCAAGTTTTTGGTTGAAGATGATATTAAGCATGTATATGTTCTCTTTTCCTTTGGAATTTTTGGTAGAATTAGAATTATTTCTTCATATTGTTTGCATACTTGCAAGTTTTCTTCCTGGTGCTCATTATTAATCTTTTTGAATATGCTCATTATATTGTAGGATCATTAGAGTGTACACAGATAATTCCCAAAGAGAGATGCATTACGTTAGGTTCTGCTTCGCTGAATGTATTTAAGGTAAGTTTTTTTGTCTGAATGTCATCATTTAAAGAAGTTTTTACGATAGACTGAAAATATTTATAATCCTAGAATAGTAATATCTTTACATCCTATTGTGTCAATTATGTACATGTATTAGTAAATGTACCTGTAATCGACGAGGATATAATTTCTATTACATTTATTCTAAAATATACAATGAAGCATAATTATACAAATATTTTTAATACAATTAGTACACAACCTACCCTTATATATTCTTTTTTCTCAAACTTATAAAAAAAAGAAATTTGTTGTTAATAAAAAAATGACATAAGTTTTTTGTTTTGTTTTGTTTTGTTTGTTTTTGTTTTTTTTTGAAAAAAAACTTGAAAGACATACATGTAATTAAGTGCATATAGTAAAGAAGTTTTTATTTACCTTAAATATTGCCCTGACGATGCAAAAGAGAATCAGAAAAAAGAAGGGAAGAGAGGACATACCTTAATGTTCCTAATACCAGAATCTCTCTCTTTTTGTATTTGACTTTTGATTACACTCATTATAAAATGCATTTTTCATACAAACCCTTGGTTTAAAAAATGCCTTACCTCTGTCAATGGTATTGGAGCATTACTCCCAAAACTTGCGATATGAATTTGTACATTTTAGATACAAAAAAATAACGTTACTGTAAGACATAATTTAATTTTGATTTTAATTTTCATTTATTATTCTCCCCTTCGCTTGAAAAGTGGGAGGGTGCATAATGATCGGGGTGTTCGGCTTTCTGACAGTACGTCAGTCCTTCTGTCCGTCCGACTGTTACACTTTGGGGTAAACATCTCTTATCCACATCTCCTCCTATACCACTCAATGGAATTTAGTGAGACTTTCACAGAAAGAATGTTTTGTTTTTGATCGGACTAATATTTCGGGTTTCCCATTTGCAAGATTAACATGCCATTTTTCTTCTATTATATTGAAGGGTAACCATCCCTTTGCAAATTCTTTGTAACCTAATGCAATTGTGCACATCATATATTACTTTTTTGATCTGAGTCTTATTTCTGGTTTTCCAGTGCATTATTAATTGCACTCTTAATGTGTAACATCGTCTTTCTATAGTAAATGATGGATTGCCCCAAAAATGAATCAATGTGGAAAAAAGAGTCGAAGGACTATTATTGCCGAAAAAAAGAAGCTTATCATTGTTTGTTAGACGATGGCGGCGGAAGCGTCAAAAGAGGGTGTGTCGAATTACATCGCCTTGGTAAAGGTAAGCATCATATACCTGGAAACTCGAGACTGCATTGTTTAAGAGAGAGAGAGAGAGAGAGAGAGAGAGAGAGAGAGAGGCATATTTGATATCGTGTTTTTATAAAAAGAATTAAAAAGTCCAGCTTGTGAAGTATCACGAAAAGAGGACTACTTTACACATGCGAGAATTACTGCCGATTTTAAAATATCTAATGCAACCCTCCATGATTTTACGTATACAGGTCGAGGAAACTATTTTCCGTGACGTCGGAGCAAATTCACATGTTAAGTGAGGAACAAACGTGACTGACAAATCGACCATGAGTTGCATTATGGTTAACAACAAAAATACTACACGTGTGTTTTTAAAATGCCAATTTTTTAAATCGCTCTCGAAAAAATGTGATGCATTTTTCCGAGCATTTTACACACTTAGTACAATAAGAACATCATTATCTACTAATTCCATGCTCACATTCATATACAAATGTTTTACAATGATAAAAATAAGGGTTTTCTCCACTCCATTAAACAAGTCTTTTTGTTGACAGTTTTCACCGTGCTGTATTGTCAGTGAAAAGTCAATCCATTGTACAAGTCTGTTTGTTGACAGTTTTCCCCGTGCTGTACTGTCAGTGAAAAGTCAATGTCACGTTACTATACCTTGGTCCGAAAACAATCAACTCTGAAGTGTGCTACGTATTCAGTGGCGGATTTAAGAGGGGGTGCACCCGGCGCGCGCCCCCTAAAATTGTCAAAGTTAGCGTAAATCAAATATGTCTACTTGGTAGACCTCATTTTCACCCTTCAAAATCTCTAGAATCCAGGAGCTTCCGGGGGCTTCGCCCCCTGGGCCCCACCAGGGCTTTGGTAGACCTCATTTTAACCCTTCAAAATCTCTAGAATCCAGACCCCTTGCCTAATTTTGGCGCCCCCTAACTCCAAATCCTGGATCCGCGCCTGGTATTGTCAATGTTAACAACGTATACAACTTCAAAATATATGCTACTCACATTCTATAATTAATATGCATGAGGATTAACATAACAGGTAAATAAGAAAAATGTTGTACAAATATTTTTGTTTGTGAAATGCAACTTTAAATTAAGTATTGAATTCATATTTTTGGATGTCTTCGGTCCTATAACACACCTGGCACAGCCAGGTGTGTTATCAATCGCATCATCTCGGGTCTTTCCGTCAGAGGTCGGAAAAACAACCTCGAATGTATTAACATCACCGGATGTTAAAATTTTATACATTTCCTGTTTAGTCAAATATAGAATAGACGGAGTTAGAAGTCCCTTCTATAGGATATTTTAGGTAATATCATTACATTGAATAAAGTTACACTCCATATTCCACAGATAAAAGGTCTCCATGAATTTATTTCAAAGATCGTGAAAAGGGAGGGTTGTCATGGCGGCTACCATATACATTCGAGGTCGTTTTTCCGCTATTCGGAAAGGCCCGAGAAGTTGCGATTGGTGTGTTATAGGACTGAAGACATCCAAAAATATGAATTCAATGCTTATATTTAAATTCTCTAATTTTCCTTCTTCATAATTGTTTATTTCGTTAATCTTTAATGTGAATTTAGCTCCCTTAAAAACTGCCGTGGTGATGTAAGAGCCGTTAAATGACGTTAAATGACGTTGCAAAGTTAAATTACGCAAACAAACATTGCGAGGAAAAAAGAATGACTTTATTCTTAACGCACATTACGTTATTTCGTACGTTAATTTTTCAGGGTTATAGTTTTTCATTTAGTTGAATAAAACATTTTACATGTTGGTGTTCCTAGAGTATTGAAAATGCATATAGTTCCTACTGTGTATTCCAACGCGCGGTGACAAGGTTTTGCGTGTGTTATAGAAATTGAATGTCGTTGATTTCTAATGGATTTCATAAGGAAAATTACACTGAATGTAAATATTTTATAGTAACAAATAACTGAGCAACTACTAATTTAACCAGTTACATGGCAAATTAAGGAATATCGAGTTTAAAAAAATAAGGTCTTTTTTACTTCTGAAGACTTTGTGAGCAGTATCTCAAAAAAGTACAATTTAGCAAGAAAAACTGACTTTGTTTGTTAATGTGAGCATGGGGAATCTAGATTATTACCTAATCTTCGTATTTTTCATAAACACATTTCAAAAAAATTGTTAGCTGTCTTTCCTGAAGTCATTTGAAATCGCGTCTTAAATTTCCCTGACCCATGTGTTAGTAGTAAAAATAAACATGTAGTAGACCATCATGCTTTTCGGCTCATTCACTGGATTGGACCATTGTTTGCTGTGAGCACCTCTGTGCGCAATCACAACAATGTCCATACAAGGTAGTTTCCTCGACCTGTTAAAAGACGCATTTATCAAAGCGAGGTTACGCTACTAAGTCAATAAGTTCTGTCATTCTATCAAAAAAAGAAGCAAAGTTTCTGATCCAAACCCATTCTTAAAGATAATTTGATAAATAACAACAACAATGTAACCCAAAATATTCTTTACTTTATTTAATCCTTCCACTAAAGAACTGAAATTAAAAAAAAATTTCGAAGGATTTGTATAATTTTTTTTTAGAAATGAAGAATGCAAAAATTATTTGAATATACTCAACCTTTCATCGCTTACAAAAAAACAAGAACATACGTAATGTGATTTTCATGTTTTGCTTAAAAGAATCATCATACTATTTATCCCCCCAAATAACTAACTGCCAAACACTAAATCTTACTTATCTGCTGTATGCAAAGAAGATCTACTTTAAGTGTGGTTTGTTGTGTCGGATCCTCACATACATGTATTATTCACAAGTCCAATTGATATAGACATATGCCGCTTATCAAAAAAAAAAATCTGCTCTTTAAAAGGAAAACTTTCTTTTTAAATGACTTGTTTTTCAAATAATATTCAAGTATCGTTATGACAATTAAGGGAGACCACTTTCCTTTAAAAACCATCTGTTTACACTTTTTCACGAATTTAATTATCTGAGGTAAAAGTGCAATTATAACTTTCCAGAAAACCTTTAATGTAGTCTCGTTTTGATCTGTTGCTTAAAACATTTATTTTTGATTCGTAGTAATTTTACAGCCAAAATCTTAAGTTCAAGTCGAAATTATTGCTTTATTTTATAGTTATTTTTTCAGAAGCTTTGGGGTTTTCAAGCCTGTAGCTGCAATGCCACTTACAAAGGAAATGTTATTTAATACTTTGAGAACTCTTCAAAATACAATAAAAACTCAATAAAACAATCTCAGAAGTTCAATTCTATTTTTCTAGGCCACTGTCCGATTTTTAATAGATATGGCTCTATCCATTGGATCAAATGCAACAGTCCTGAGTGTCCAAATACAACTTACATAAGTAATGAAGTCTACAGATGTATGTATACAATGTACGAGGGTTGTCCCGTAAGATCGTGGACAAGTTGTCTAGTGAGAAAAATAAATATCACTGCGTTCTGAAATTTTCACCATGATTTAGTACATATTTTAGTAATATACACAGCAAATTTCAGATAAATATATGCATAAATAAACAAATTATGAGATTTTATGCCATGTATTGTATCACCTTACGGCTTATGGATTACAACGTCAAAGTGTCTAAAACAGCGTCACGTTTTATATTTGCTGAAAATGAAGTTGGATGAGTCAGACGTAAATGTTGGAATTTCATTGATACACATTCGTTAGTCTCCATAAACAGCCGAAGAACCAATTGGCACCCTCATGCGATCTTCTGAAGATGTATTAGTAAGTTACGGACAACATTCTCACCATCATTCAAGTAATAGAAAATCTTATATTTCCATTTCTAATTTTTTTCTTTATAATAACCCTTTGAAAGTAAGCGGAGTTGATTTATTGATAATTCTGCCGGAATGTAAATTAGGCAGGTCGATAGGTCAGCAGCTAAGGAGGCCTAATACGCATGCAAATCTCGTGCTCATCTGTCTCTGTGTCTGACGCTAAGGAGGCCAAATATGCATGTAAATCTCATGCGGCTGCCTTTGTGTTTGACGTCAGTATGCGGGGATTATTGAAATTGAAATTGAAATTGGAAGTCCTCGTGTAATTTAAATCGATTAGTCTACATTCTTAATGTCTAAGTCTACAATTTTTTTTTTCACAATGAAATGGAAATATAATGAATCACTGTCTAGTTTTGAGAGTATGCCAGGGCATCAACAATAGTGGGAAACATGGGATAATTTTAGCATAACGGGCTTCGCCATGTTTTCCACTATTGTTGATGCCCTGGCATACTCTCAAAACTAGACAGTAATTCCTTAAATATCGGCGGTCTACTGTGACAGCCTCTTTTGCTATTGGGTACATAAAGAGTTTGTCCGTATGTTTTGTACTCCCAAGGGACTCGATCCAAAAAAAAACTTTGCTAAGAAAACTCCTATTTCATTTGTATACTTAAGATATTTTGTTATTTTTATAATATTTTTTTTCTTCTATGGTCATTTCAAGTCTCAAAAGGTGTCATTACAACATCGAAATAAAACTGAACTGTTCTCTGGTGCGCCGTAACGTCATAAAACGTCGCCATTTTTCGTGTGTTGTGTTTACCACTTTCCCATTTCGAATGCTCGAGAAACTGCCCAAAACTAACCAAATGCCTTAATTTTTTTTTTACAAAGACTACAAAATTGATTGTGGAATTGAATTAAGATAATTTCAATCCAAACCTTTCGTATTTGAATTTTTTTTTTTGGATTCAAACTTGTTTATTCTTTAATAAAACCTTGAATTTTTGACCGTGCGCCGTAGGACAATACCCCGTGCACATTAAAGGATAATAAAATCTTTATTTTTGCCTATAATTTATCAGAAAAATTATCATGCACTTATATATGATAAATAAACATTTACTGAAATTTTCAGCTTAGTGCGCCCATTACTTTTCGAGAAAGACGCTTTGTCCACGATTTTACGGGACAGCCCTCGTATTTATACTTATGTTTATACTTTTCAATTCAATTTCAATACCAAACATAATTCTTTGGCATACCCATAATATTTACATCAACAAAAATAACTAAATAAATGTATGCTTTCCTAAATTTAGACAACGTCAGAAAATTGTTTTATTTTACTTTGTAAATAAAAAAAAAACTTGCGTACGTACGATTTGGCAGGTTTTTGTTAAACAAAAAACTTTTAAAAATTGACTCTTTTTAGTATTTAAAAACAAGAGAGTAAAAGGAAACAACGAGCATATGTATTACCATGGGGCAAGATTGCAATAGATTTAGTTTATTTTAGACCCTGTATGCCTTCAAAGGAATTCAACTTTTACTTCAAGGTGAGATATATTTTTTTTCTTAATATTTTTAATAATCTTTTCATGAACGAGGGACTGTCCTAATTTTCGTAAACAAGCTCTGTTTTATGGGATCCTGATCTCAAATATTAATAAAACTATGTACATAGATCAAACCAAGACTAACTAATAAATTTATGGACAAATATGGCGTAGCTACACAAATTAACCATATTGTAACGGGGGAGGGGCGGACGGAGGCGGTCGGTCCTCTACTACTCCTGGACCCACCGTCTCTCTCTATCTCTAGGGGTTGTCTTATCTCTCGTGGCAAGGCTTGCGTTACACAGCTCAACCTGAGCTCAGGAGGAATAGTATGGCACAGTGGTTCAAACCTTAATACTTTAATCATATCACAACACACTAAACTATCTCCCTTTAATCAATGAACTCAGATAATACACCACTACCCAAAACTTAAACCTCCTATTATTAACCCGCGCTCTCTAAGTTACACTAAATTTATAAATACACGAAATCTCTCAGTTTTACTTCTCGATTTGTCAAGCTCGTTCCAACCTAGACCTACGGAAGTCACTAAAAATTCTTCAATGCTCATTTATCTCGTTACTCTGTTCTTAATCTCTAATATCCCACAATTTCCATCTTGTTGGAAAACCACATTTTGATAAAACCTTGTAAATCTCTGTACTTGAAATGAGACAAAATCGATTTACAATTTAATATAAAAATTATCTCTCAAATGAACAATCAACAAACACTAAACTCTGTCTCAGTCTGTCTATGTCACTTATTAGTCCTGACTTATCTGTCTAAAACCAACCTCAATGCAACTCACGAAACTCCTAATTCTCAAAACTTCCTCCCAGACCTCCTGAATGAAAGTAAAAGCCAATAACTAAAACTTAATCCCTTAAACCTAATAAATTTCTAACAAATTTCAAACACCAGTAATTCCTGCAAATTTCCTAAGTCTGAATTTTAGTTTAATTTAATTAATTAAGTAGCAAAATTTAGAAATACACTTGTCTAGCTTCCTTAGCTAATTGTATAAATTACCTAAACAATTCCAAGTGATTCTAAAATTTAACAACAATTTACCAAAAATTCAAACAGCCTGCAAATTTTAACCAAGTCCAATTCTCAGTTTAAATTCACTAAAACCTGATAAAAACTTCCTATAAAATTCCACAAATATTCCAAAACTTCTTAAAATGTCCTTAAAATAAACCCGGCTGGCTCTTCTGAAACTAAAACTAAGAAGTCATTAACTCAAAATTCAAAACGCCTAACCCATACTATAGCTAACTCCTTACCCCTAAAACACGACTTCTCTAAAGAAACCAACCTAGCAGAAGAGCAAAAATTCCTTGAATCTCTCCCTTTTATATAACAACATGACGTTAATGTTGGAAACTGTTGGACTCGTTGGAAAACGTTGGAGAATCTCTCATGACATTTCCCGTACGTAAGCAGCAAAGTCTATAGAAAAATCTAATAACTACATACAAGACACCTTTTCTGAATGAAAGTAATCTCCAAATACATTCTTTAACTAAAATAAGTAAATTAATCTCCATTTAAATCAACAAATAACACAATTGACTCCAAAAATGATTAATCCTATGTTGCACTTGGTCAGTTCAGAAATTCACACCGTCATGTAGTAACATTTTATTGTTTCGACCTGTTAATGGATAGATATCTATTACAATAAATAACAGTTTGTTGATAATTATACAATTCTCATTATTATTAACAGTCATTTTTAAATATTAAATAACTCACACATTGACGGGCTTAATACATGACATTGTTTCGCCGTTGAGGAGTCCGTGCATCTCAAACCGCATATTACTTACGAAATAATAAAGTCCGAAACGATACGGACGGAATGTACAATTCCGAAACGTACACTCCCCCCACCATTTGTCCAGGGATATGAAAAAGTTCACATGTTCACAGTTTACATTTACACCTGTTCTTCAACTGGAAGAATCACAACTAATCGTCGGACTGATCTGCAAACCACCGTATCTGGACAACCACAATATTTAGGATCTTGGTTCAGATTTTTGTATCTAAGTTTTACATCCCGCACTTTTCCATCACTTCTTGGGTTTGCCTCCGAAACTTGTGCCAGTTTCCATTGACCACGCACATTATTTGAATCTTGAACAAGTACGATGTCACCATTTTGAATGTTTCTCCTTTCATGATGCCATTTCTGTCTTATAATAAGGGTATGAAAGAAATCTCGTGTCCATCTTCTCCAAAATGTATTCACCACACGCTGAACAAATTTCCATCTTATTCTGGGGTCCTTGCAATCATCCCAGTCTCCTACAGGGACTCTGGTGCTTGCCCGACCTAACAATAGATCGTTCGGACAAAGATATGTACCTTCAGTAGGGTCGCAATTTTTTGTACCAATGGGACGTTCATTTAGTAGATTGGAAACTTCAAAGAGAACAGTTTGTAACTCTGAAAATGTCATAATTGCTGATCCAATGGCAGTCTCAAGAGAAAGTTTTGTTGAACGAATAAGCGACTCGCTGCAACCATTTTCCCAGGGTGCGTCCGCTGATTTTGTTGTCTGCCAATCCATGCCTCTAGCTGTCCCAAAATTCTTGATATCTTCCCAATCCCAAGTATGTACAACTTTTTGTAATTCTTTCCCGGCAGCAATTAGTTGAGTACCTGCATCAGAAATCATTTTTCTGGGATATCCTCTGATGGAAACAAAACGTCGTAGTACCATAAGGAAACTGCCCATGTCATATCCTTCTGCTACATCAATATATACTGCTCTTGAAACTAAGCAATTAAACAAGACACCATAACCTTTCCCATGGGTCCTCTTCTTAACTGCATCCTTGATTACAAGAGGTCCAAACAAATCAACAGCACACATGTTGAAGGGAGGGGTCGGTTTAAGTCTTGTCTCTGGCATTGGACCCATCTGTTGACCTTGCATTGATTTGAATTTTCTTCTACATATCACACACCTAAATTTAATTCTGCTTATAATGTTTTTTACTTTAGGTATCCAAAATCTGCTTCGGATCTTTGCTAGAGTAACGTCAATTCCTGCATGATCTTCATCGTGTATTGCTTTCACTACATATTCTGTAAATACGTGATTTGTAGGAAGAAGTGCAAATGTGGACTGATTCCAGGTTTCTTCAATCCATTTACTCATTCTCTGTCCAACTGTAATAATTCCATCCTTTGTTCGTTCAGGGCCAAGACGTCGAAACCTCTGCATAACATTGTTTGGTAGGTCCATTTGAGCATGTAAAATCCAAGCCCTTTCAGCATCTCTTATAACTTCAGCTGTCAAATTTTAAAGAATCTTCTTGAATGAGTGCACCTTGAATATAAGTTGCAAAATACCAGTGAGTCTATATAGCTTATTCAAGGATGAGATTCTCGTGGTGTCTATCAATTCCAGTATCCGAGTCGAGGATTCCTTTGGCTTCACTTCAATATTTTCTGTCAACACACTGTGCACCAATGAATCCGGAATTTCTAAAACGTCAACAGTTTGTTTCATTGGCCACTGTTCAATAGGATAGTGTAAGAATTCTGGTCCTTTCTGCCACCTTGAATCATTGTTTAATATGCTGGGATGTGTAATCCTTGTTGTAAGATCCGCAGGATTTTGATCAGAAGGAATCCAAAACCATTCAGCCTTTTGTGTCTTTGATTGAATCTCGGCTATCCTATTGGCGACAAATGTACCAAAACCGTAACTTTCCTTTTGAATTTGGGCACGGACAATTGCAGAATCAGTAAGATGAATTGCTCTCTGAAATGTAAAAGTCATGCTTTCCACAACTTTTTCCCTTATTCTAGCTGACAGCACAGCACCGCAAAGCTCAAGCCTTGGAATGGAAAGTTGCTTAACTGGCGCAATCCGATTTTTTGCAAAAATTAATCTAACGTCATAAGTGTCCCAAGCAGTCTCCCATCTTATGTACGCACACGCTCCAAAAGCAAGATTGCTGCCGTCAGAAAAAAACACCAAGACCGGATTTCCAAAGACGTTAGTTGGTTTTAAACATCTGGGAATGCACAGGGATTCTAACTGAAAGAGTCCATTGAAAAATTCTATCCATTGTTGTCTCATTTCTGCGGATAAAGGTTTATCCCACACTTCAGACTTTCTCTGGTTTCCTTGGCATAAATTTCTTATGAGAGATTTTGCACTAAGAGTGTAAGGAACAATCAGTCCTAAAGGGTCATACACTCCTGCAACTTGGCTGAGTACTATTCTTCTTGTCAAAATTTCAGGAATTTCCTCCAACTTATTGGTTGATTTCTCTTCATGGCTTTTATGCTTTGTTTTCCTGGAGAAGTTCAATCGCACTTTAAATGTAAATACATCATCAACAGGTTTCCACACTAGTCCCAACACCTTTTCTGATTCTGTATTCATTATGTTGATTTCATTAATTTCCTGATGATGGTCTCCTGATATAATCCAATGCTTTATGTGAAAGCCACCAAAGTCCAATACTTGATTGATATCCTTAGCCAATTGCAATACATTTTCAAATGTGGAATCTGATGTTAAAATGTCATCAACATAGCTGTTGTTTTTTATAACACTAGCAGCCTTTGGGTAAACATCTTCCAGCATTTCAGCTGTTTTATTGAGAGCTATAATAGTTATAGCACCACTGGGGCGATCTCCAAATGGAACATTGGTCAGCACATAATGATCTGGTGGTCTGTCAATTTCACAATTTCTCCATAAAAATCTGTGCGTATGCTGATCTTCTATGGAAAGATGAATCAAGTTATACATTTTGGAGATATCGCCTACAAGACCAACCTGATTTTCTCGAAACTTCAACAAGATGGAAAGAAGGTCATTAAAAACTTTTGGTCCTTTAGCCCAGTAGTCATTAATAACATGACCCATATAGGAAGCAGAAGAGTTGAACACAATTCGAAGTGGTGTGGATGATGATTCTGGTTTTAAAACCTCATGATGTGGAAGATAGTGCACAGGTCCTTTGTATGAAGTAACTTCCTCTGGTGATAATTTTCTAGCAGCCTTTCTCTGCACCATGTCATCTATCTGTTTTTGATATTCCTGAGTGTGTTCATCGCCAGTTTTTTTTCAGTCGTTGTTCCGTTGACCGTAAACGGCCTATAGCAGCTTGTATGTTATTAGGCAGTTCTGAAGGATTCCGTTTCCATGGGTAATTTATGGTCCAGCATTTGTTGGCATCATCATGCTTTAATCCAGTCTCAATCATGTTCAGTTCATGCTCCTCTTCAATAGTGTAATGTCCTGAACCAACAACACAATGTCCACATCGACACCCTCCACATCTTGGTTGACAGTAGGTTCCTAAGCTTTCAATGTCTAGAAAACTATCAAACTGATCTTTTAGATCTTTTAGCGATTTAGTATTCATGATATGCATGGAATTTAATTCACTTCTCGACAAATGATTGATACAAAACGAGTTTGGCATTGCGGATACTTTAATCAGAGAATGGCTTCCCCTCACACAATAACCAAATTGATTTTTCATCAGTTGAAGATTCCCGACGCCGTCAACTCTTGTGGGTAAAAGAACGCTACAGTCTGATCCAATCAGTAAATCAACCTCTCCACATGGTCTGTAGATATCAGAGTCTGTAATTCCATTAAATAATTGTGCTATTCCACTAACATCTACCTTGCCTGCATTTGTTGTAATTTGCTCCATACCGTATCCTTTAATTTGCCAGGTATTGCCATCCTTGTCTGTCAAGGGGATTATATATTCTTTGCTATGTAGTTGTTCCATAACATTTCCCACCTTCGTGATACTGAGGGTTACATCTTTTCCTTGTAAATTAAGTTTACTTGCTGCACGATGTGAAATTAACGAAATATTTGATCCTGGATCCCACAAAGTTGATAGCAAAATATCCTTACACTTAACTTCACTGATCATAAGTAGGACATCTTCTCCAGGTTCTTTGCTATTAACAATTCTCACAATGTTAGCAAATTTCCCTCTTGACCTTCTTGATGCAGTGACGAGTGATGTAATTTTCCACAATGTTCACATCCTTTCTTTTGAGGACAGTATTTCGAGATATGTCCTGTTTTTAGACAAATAAAACAGCCTCTATTTTTTCTGAGTAAGTCCATTTTAGCACCAACGTCCTTTCTGTTGAAATTCCAACACTGAGAAATATCATGTGTATCACTATTATGGTACCAGCAACTCCTTTGTGATGGCGAGGGTCGACTAAATCTTGGTAGATTTTGATTTGTTTGATGTCCTTGACGAACAATTTCATTGATGCGTGCTAGGCCGTCTACAACCAGTTTTTTTTCAGTCGTTGTTCCGTTGACCGTAAACGGCCTATAGCAGCTTGTATGTTATTAGGCAGTTCTGAAGGATTCCTTTTCCATGGGTAATTTATGGTCCAGCATTTGTTGGCATCATCATGCTTTAATCCAGTCTCAATCATGTTCAGTTCATGCTCCTCTTCAATAGTGTAATGTCCTGAACCAACAACACGATGTCCACATCGACACCCTCCACATCTTGGTTGACAGTAGGTTCCTAAGCTTTCAATGTCTAGAAAACTATCAAACTGATCTTTTAGATCTTTTAGCGATTTAGTATTCATGATATGCATGGAATTTAATTCACTTCTCGACAAATGATTGATACAAAACGAGTTTGGCATTGCGGATACTTTAATCAGAGAATGGCTTCCCCTCACACAATAACCAAATTGATTTTTCATCAGTTGAAGATTCCCCACGCCGTCAACTCTTGTGGGTAAAAGAACGCTACAGTCTGATCCAATCAGTAAATCAACCTCTTCACATGGTCTGTAGATATCAGAGTCTGTAATTCCATTAAATAATTGTGCTATTCCACTAACATCTACCTTGCCTGCATTTGTTGTAATTTGCTCCATACCGTATCCTTTAATTTGCCAGGTATTGCCATCCTTGTCTGTCAAGGGGATTATATATTCTTTGCTATGTAGTTGTTCCATAACATTTCCCACCTTCGTGATACTGAGGGTTACATCTTTTCCTTGTAAATTAAGTTTCCTTGCTGCACGATGTGAAATTAACGAAATATTTGATCCCGGATCCCACAAAGTTGATAGCAAAATATCCTTACACTTAACTTCACTGATCATAAGTAGGACATCTTCTCCAGGTTCTTTGCTATTAACAATTCTCACAATGTTAGCAAATTTCCCTCTTGACCTTCTTGATGCAGTGACGAGTGATGTAATTTTCCACAATGTTCACATCCTTTCTTTTGAGGACAGTATTTCGAGATATGTCCTGTTTTTAGACAAATAAAACAGCCTCTATTTTTTCTGAGTAAGTCCATTTTAGCACCAACGTCCTTTCTGTTGAAATTCCAACACTGAGAAATATCATGTGTATCACTATTATGGTACCAGCAACTCCTTTGTGATGGCGAGGGTCGACTAAATCTTGGTAGATTTTGATTTGTTTGATGTCCTTGACGAACAATTTCATTGATGCTTGCTAGGCCGTCTACAACCAGTTTTTTTTCAGTCGTTGTTCCGTTGACCGTAAACGGCCTATAGCAGCTTGTATGTTATTAGGCAGTTCTGAAGGATTCCTTTTCCATGGGTAATTTATGGTCCAGCATTTGTTGGCATCATCATGCTTTAATCCAGTCTCAATCATGTTCAGTTCATGCTCCTCTTCAATAGTGTAATGTCCTGAACCAACAACACAATGTCCACATCGACACCCTCCACATCTTGGTTGACAGTAGGTTCCTAAGCTTTCAATGTCTAGAAAACTATCAAACTGATCTTTTAGATCTTTTAGCGATTTAGTATTCATGATATGCATGGAATTTAATTCACTTCTCGACAAATGATTGATACAAAACGAGTTTGGCATTGCGGATACTTTAATCAGAGAATGGCTTCCCCTCACACAATAACCAAATTGATTTTTCATCAGTTGAAGATTCCCGACGCCGTCAACTCTTGTGGGTAAAAGAACGCTACAGTCTGATCCAATCAGTAAATCAACCTCTTCACATGGTCTGTAGATATCAGAGTCTGTAATTCCATTAAATAATTGTGCTATTCCACTAACATCTACCTTGCCTGCATTTGTTGTAATTTGCTCCATACCGTATCCTTTAATTTGCCAGGTATTGCCATCCTTGTCTGTCAAGGGGATTATATATTCTTTGCTATGTAGTTGTTCCATAACATTTCCCACCTTCGTGATACTGAGGGTTACATCTTTTCCTTGTAAATTAAGTTTACTTGCTGTACGATGTGAAATTAACGAAATATTTGATCCTGGATCCCACAAAGTTGATAGCAAAATATCCTTACACTTAACTTCACTGATCATAAGTAGGACATCTTCTCCAGGTTCTTTGCTATTAACAATTCTCACAATGTTAGCAAATTTCCCTCTTGACCTTCTTGATGCAGTGACGAGTGATGTAATTTTCCACAATGTTCACATCCTTTCTTTTGAGGACAGTATTTCGAGATATGTCCTGTTTTTAGACAAATAAAACAGCCTCTATTTTTTCTGAGTAAGTCCATTTTAGCACCAACGTCCTTTCTGTTGAAATTCCAACACTGAGAAATATCATGTGTATCACTATTATGGTACCAGCAACTCCTTTGTGATGGCGAGGGTCGACTAAATTTTGGTAGATTTTGATTTGTTTGATGTCCTTGACGAACAATTTCATTGATGCTTGCTAGGCCGTCTACAACCTTTTGGAGGACTTCTTGATTGTGCTTCATCTGAACACTTAGTTGATCAACTGGAGAATGTGAATTTGTCTCTGCTACATGGTGGATTCTTGCTTTGGAGTTATTCCTTATTTCTGATTGCATGTATTCCATGGCATTCTTTTCTTCTAACAGAAATTCAAGTAATGGAAGAAATATCTCTATTTTCCCAGCGTGTTTTTTCTTTTGCAAAACCCATTCTCTCTTTTGTACAGGGGGTAGAATTTTTTCGATTTCGTTTACCATTGTCGCTGTATTCACCTCTCTCTCCATTTTCATTCGTTTCAAATCTAAATAACATCGTTCAATCACTTCTACACTATTTATAAAGCTGATATGGTCCCAATCGGCTATGACCTTGAGCTTCTGAATGTCACTCAAAATTGAATCTGTTAGTTTCTCTGGTCTGCCATACTTTAACTGCAGTCTGTGCCACATTTCTTCGTAATCATTATCCACTCCTTGAATGACTTTTAATGCCTCTCCGTGTAAGCACTTTTTCAAAGCAAATGGGTATAAGCCATACGATGGTACCATAATACATTCATAGTCTCTTTTGAAACTTGGGTATTCCCGTATTGCACCGCTAAATGAAGGTGCATCAAGTTTTTTTAACTTTAACTGTTTCCTTTTTTCTTTTTGTCTCTAATTCATTTTGTTTAATCTTTTCTGCTAATCCTGTCACATGTAAACGGCACTCACATAATTCACTGTACATTTTGTCCATGTCTCTATCAACATTTTCATGTTCACTTGCTTGTAATTCATTTTCTAGATCTAAAAGTTCTACATATTCTGCATGACTTCTTTCTAAATCATTATAGGACGTTTCTAGATCACCAAGAATATTTTGTAGTACACCATGGTCCTCCATATAACCTAATTCTCTAAATCTGTTGTATATCTGTGAAACTTGCCCTTTTGCGTTGAACGTCGACGCTTCTTGCCCTGTAGCTCAGGATCTTTCGACTCTTCGGGTGGCGGCATGTTCCCTGTGTGTCGAAATGTTGCACTTGGTCAGTTCAGAAATTCACACCGTCATGTAGTAACATTTTATTGTTTCGACCTGTTAATGGATAGATATCTATTACAATAAATAACAGTTTGTTGATGATTATACAATTCTCATTATTATTAACAGTCATTTTTAAATATTAAATAACTCACACATTGACGGGCTTAATACATGACATTGGGCGCACTTGTTTCAGACAGCCGGGCGATGACCCGGTTCACTTTTATCACATGGCATATTGACCCGGTTAGTGTCGCTGAAACGAGTGAAAAATAAGCCGGATTGGCTGGTATCAGTGCTGTTGCTGTAAAAAAAATATATATCAAAATTATCTGAACGCACGAGAACAACGATTTAGTGGATATATTTCGTTTTAATATTTACTAGTTCCATTCAATTTACAATTTGTCAATTTGGAGCATATAGGGTCTCGTTACACACAGAACTGAAAAGCAGCTTTAAAATTGAAAAAAAAATTGTCGTGCAAATGTAAACAAATATGTTGTTAAAGTCTCTTAATTATTATCTCAGTAGTGTTTGTTATTGACACCGAGACTACGACAAATGATAAAAAACGAATTTTTCACCATCAAGAACATTTCTACCTCCGTTTTCCGCCATATTGCTTTTCATTTGGCCGCTCGAAATTTTTCGGGCGATCCGGGCTACTTTCTGACCGCCCGGCGGCTTAAATATATTTGAAACAAGTGACTTGCCCGGTTCCGGAATATCAACCGGCTTGACCCGGCTTATGAAACAAGTGCCCCTATTGTTTCGCCGTTGAGGAGTCCGTGCATCTCAAACCGGATATTACTTACGAAATAATAAAGTCCGAAACGATACGGACGGAATGTACAATTCCGAAACGTACATCCTAAAACTATCGTAACTTTTACGATCGGGCTCGACCTACACAATTTACGACCGCCAAGTACCAGTCTGTAAACTGCCGATAATTATCTAAAACAAGTTAAACTTCAAGAAAACATTATTTCATCTATAAATCTATGGTTCATCTACTACAGAAGACCAATTAAAGTCCCTGAAACATGAAGTAAGCTAAAATAATACCACAACTTTACTACTGCTGTGATCAGCTGATTTCTACGTAACTCAAAACATGTGCACAAACTATTTCAACTCATGTAAATCACTTGAACTTGTCAATAATCACCTATCAACTACATGCAAAGCATAAATTAATACATATTCCTGCAATGTCAAGTAATTATAACACATATACAAATTCATCTTAACTCTCCTACAATGTCAACAATAATCAGGTTCAATAACTCTGTATAAAACTACTGTGTCAAATCTCTGGACCGTTACAATATTTATATGATAGAGAAGGATGCGATTTACAGAAATATTGCGGACACCAAAGTCCAATATTTACATTCAGTATAATTTTCCTGATGAAATCCATTACAAATCCACGACGTTCAAATTTCTATAACACACGCTAAACCTTGTCACCGCGCGTAAGAATACAAAGTAGGAACTATATGCATTTTCAATACTCTAGAAACACCAAAATGTAAAATGTTTTATTTCAATTTAATGAAAAACTACAGCCCTGAAAAATTAACGTAGAAATTAACGTAATGTGCGTTAAGAATTAATTTGTCACTTTTTTAATCGCAATGTTTGTTTGCGTACTTAAACTTTGCAACGTCACTTAACGTCATCTGACGTCACAAACGGCTCTTACGTCTATTAACCACGTTAGTTTTGAAGGACGCTAAATTCACATTAAATGTCAACGAAATAAGCAATTATGAAGAAGGAAAATTAGAGAATGTAAATATAAGCATTGAATTCATATTTTTGGCTGTCTTCGGTCCTATAACACACCTGGCCGTGCCGACAAATTTATCATACCGCGCTAACGCGCGGTATTCAATTTGTCGGCTCGGCCAGGTGTGTTATAGGACCGAAGACAGCCAAAAATATGAATTCAATGCTTAAATGGCTCGTTTCCTAAGAGAAACGTTGCCCTAGAGTGCAATGGACTGACACGCTAAAGTCCGATAGTGTGGATGAAAAATTAACATTTATGACATCACAATAATTTTACGTCAATCACTGACGCTGTTGTCCCGCTGTGGTCCTCGCAATAAATTTAATCTTATGTTTTTACTTATGACTTATACCTTCCAGAGATATAAGGATTAGTTCTCACATATCACTCGACAGATTAGGTTTATTCCTTGCTTTGCACAAACCCGAGAAAATTAGGGTTAGTCCTCACTTTAGTGATTAGGGTTAGTCTTGCGTTCACCCATGATATCTCTAGGTTAGTTGTTGTACACTTTTCGAACAATTAGGGTTAGTTTTGCACCTATCTGAGAAATTAGGGTTTACTTAGTTTTTTCTTGATGATATTAAATTTTATTTATACTTATATATTTACATTTCCAATAAATTTCCCCTATGATTCTTTACAAAAAATTATGCAGTATATTTTCTCATGAACTACATTAGGTATGTATCACGAATAAGCATGAATATCTCCATTGTTACGTCATAATACCGCTCTTAACGTCAAAAAGTAAAATAATATAGTGCACACTGTTTTGTTTTAAAAATGACAGTTGAACGGCGTAAATGTATGGCAAGTCATCAGAAAAATAATGTAAATATAAGAAATGAATTTAATTTTTTGAAGCTTCATGAGGTATATGAACTACAACGCTTCACGTCGGCATATTTATCATGAAACGCTAACGCGCTTCATGAAATATGCCGGCGTGAAGCGTCGTAGTTCATAACCTCATGAATCTTCAAAAATTAAATTCATTTTCTTAATTGAACTATCTCCTGACGAGGCATTGATGTTTGATGCTGTGGTACTATGACGTCATAAACGTTAATTGATTTCAGCACCATCGGACTTAAGCGCTTTTGGAGTCCTTCATATTTAAAATGCTATTGAAAAAGAATTTCTTTTCAGAATTTTTTGAATGGAAAAAAACGCTAAATATTGTTTTTTTTTAAATTATATTTTGGTATTTTGTATTCATGCTTTTAAAAAATATATATTTGATAGCGTTTTATATACACCAGGTTTAAAATTAAAAACAAAATATTGACATTTTGAAAAATGAAAAATAAGTGTTTTGATCCCGAATTCATTCCTACAGATATAAAGGTATAAGTCATAAATGTTTTGCAGTTAAAGAAATGTGTTTTGGTCCTTAAATGGAATAAAATGAAAATCGAATTGGTTTCTCTATTCATGTAAATAACGTAAACTAAAATAAGACAGACCTGAGCATTGGGCAAGAGGGTCACTCCATTTGAGAAGACAACAAGCCCGTAAAAGATAGGGATTTCAGATAATTATTATTATATACCTGAACATGCATATACTTTGTTAACATATTTTAAGGTTGAATCATATCACTGTGATTCAAATATTTACATTTATATCTAAAATCATTATGATTAAGTTAAGAATTGATTCTGGTACATTGAATATTTTCTCCAAATTTTGAACTGTTGACGTTGCTTAAAATCTTATTACTCGCATTGTCATAAAACTTCGTATTTTATCTGACAAGAACACATTTTAACCACCGAGACATTTTTATCAAGGTACATTTATAGATTTAAAAGAAACATGTATAAGCTAAGTCTTCGAAATTTTGAGACAAACCTCGTACAGTTTTCAAAACAAATATTTTATGCCACATTGCAAAAGTACAATGTAAGACAAGTGTTTCAATTTTTGAGAGTACTATAATAATATTGAACCGTCTTTTCAGTACAATTGGAACTCCATATGGAATCAGTAAGAGCAGTAATTTTACCGGGGAAAGTACAATGGAACATGCTGGATTGAAAGTTGGATTGCTTCTTTCCATGATTATAATTGGATTTTTTATAGCTATAGTCATTGCTGTTTACTACCGAAAGACAAGTAAACGCAATGATGGTGAGTTGAACAGAAAAAAAAAAACTAAATGAGACAAACCTATTTTGTATTTAAGTAGTGGTGCCATGACGATTTTCTCTGATTCAAAATATTTTTAATGAATCGAAGGTACATCTACAGAATACAGTTATCAGGGAAATATTGTTTCAAACATTCATTTTTTTATACAAGGGCTGTTTATATAACCAACTGTTTTTCACAGATATTTATATTTTTAGTAGCTCAATACCATGCATTGAAAGCAAAACTTAGTTAAAAGAATTATATTTCCTATCCAAGTCTACTTGTGATTCAAATATATTGAAATCAGACTAAAACTGTAGAAGAGTTTTGCAACACCGTTTATCGAAACAAAAACCGTAGTGTAGCCTATCATTGAAATTAGACTACGTGATAATGAATTATGACCAAAACTGCAGGAAGAGAGGGATTTTTAATGTGTTTTTACAAATTATTATTTTCTTTGATGAAATAACAATGGCAACAAAGTTTATCAAAACCAAAACCGTTTATAGTCTCTTTTTCTGCTCAGTAAAATTATGAAACATGAATAAGGATTATTAAAACCTGTAATGATGTAAAATTGCGTAAAATATTAATATTCGTGACTAAAGTATCCATAAAAGCCCTGTTTATATATGTTTTTATCTACTTTACAGCCTCTGTCAATGACGATGAGGAAATGCAACAATTGACAAGACAAGAACACAACGAAGCTGTTAAAACAGTAGTGAAAAAACTAGAGAGAACAGACAAAGTTATAATTCATGGAAAGCTAGGCACAGGTGTTTCGAACACTGGAAAAAATGTCATCAGAAGCTTTGCAAACAGCAATGCTGGATGGAAGCCTGAACATCTACACTATCGTGATAATTTAGAACCATCACTTACGGATGGAAAAATTGTTTTTATCGATGGTTGGTTCGGAATTTGGAATCCAAATCCTTCCGAAAAAAACAAAGTTATTAGAATTCTAAGAATAATGAAAGAAAAAATGTTATCTCTTAAGAGAGGTACATGTAAGATTGTTATTGGTCTTCGAACCGATGTATATGAAAGATATCAACAGATTTTTATTGATGCTGGAATGGTTGAAGACCCTCTCGATCTAAATAGCGCAAGAAAAGATACACATCAGGAAAAAGAAAAGCATCTAAACGATGCATTGTTGTCAAACTCATGCAAGCGATCCAAATGTGACTGCAAAAAATTGAATTTGGAAGATTTTAAAAAATACACAGCTATTGGAGATCATTTAAAAATTGATATTTTAGCAGGAAATCATGAATTGATATCTAAATTTCTAATAAGTGGAGATTTGTTACAAACATTAGTGTCTCATTTTGATGATCTGAAAATGAAAAACAAACAGCTTTACGGGTGCCTCATGTATATTGTTGTAAAAGGAAAGTTCAGAGTCGGTGATACTATTGATCAGGGGATACAAAATACTTTTGAACTGGAACTGGATATAACCGAAGACTGTTTCCGACAATGTGAAAATTTAGGAACGTACACTAAATGCCTATCCAGAAGTAATCTTGTCAACGTTGAAGAAGAACCTCGGGATTCAGATAGCCATTATTTCGTCTTTAAACACGTGTTTCTTTATATATGCGCTTTTCATTCTTTATTTCGTTCACATCCCTTTCAGGTGATGGAACATTGTAACATTGACGCAGTTTTGCAAATAGTGCGACCATTTAATTCTACGGACGGATATGGCGATAAATTCTGTGTAAAAGCAGACGAAAAAACCATCAAGTTCTTCTATGAAAATGTTGTTGAGTGTAATAACGAACTTGAAGAATTAATAAATGATCACCCCCTAGTTGTAATCGCAGTTGGTTCAAGGGTTTGAACCTTTCGTACAAATTACTTGAGGTAAAATAGATATTTTTGCATATTTTGTGAAAAATACCGAGCATACTTAATAGAATACTTTACAATGTTGCTTACAAAAAACTTATGCATAAGCCTAATCCAGCCATGTGCTAATTCGATATAAAAATATAGTGGATTTAATATCTCATGTAATGTCTAGGCTACATTTGATCGTCATAAACCCTAATGATTTTACAATCATACATGATGTCTCTTCTATCATATTATGTAAGAAGAATTTAGTTTCCACAATAAATGTTCTTAATAATGGATATAGGAAGATCTGATCCCTTTACACAACTTTCCATTTCTTAATTTTATTTTCCTCTTAAATGCACACTAGCAGCGCAGGAGCTATGCTACATGTATACTAAAAGTGAATTTAAAACCTAAATTGCAGACATACAGACAAATCTGATTCGGGAAGTTCCTAGCATGAAAACACCAGGTGATAGTAACATTTGTATTTGAATTTCATTAGTTTATAAAACTTACTGTAAACTCATTTGCTACACTTTGCATAAAAAGAGTTAAAAGGCAATGTATTGTTGGGGATTTACAAATGTACCAAAATAACTATGGGCATTTTCGGGGGACGAGTTTTATCACAAGTGCCCGAACAGAGCGCTCGATCCGTTTCGGACCAGTGTGTGTAGGACTGCGCTTCTCCTGTCTCCAGTGCCACCTTGTTAAAGGCATTTAACTTACCAAACTTCGATAACCCCGCTTGTGGTTTCGCGAGGTGGAGGTGGAACCAGCCATGAAAGGTCATGATCATGAACCGCTGATATTACCATACCCTGTAATTTTGGAAACTAATCTGCCTGACATTTACTAAATGTACATGTATCGCATATAACATACCAAAACCGACACCCTCTCCTTCTTTGAGGCAGGGTGGCGAGACAACAAGGCTATGGGATCACTTGATCCCAACATACATAAAAGTATCGATCAGTCCAAACCATAGGACATAAAACTGTGTCTTCAAACAAAATCGGTTACTTATAATAAATCTGTAAGTTAATAAGGGGGACATTCATGTGGAGAGCAAATGCAAATTATATTTTCTAGATAAACTTCAAGGTCAATTTTAAACAAGGGCACCACCATGCCTAGATAATTGTATTCATGAAAGTTTAATGGTTGAGTTGTGGTTTATGTTACAAGATTTAACTTCTTTAGGAATAAACTTTTTGATGGACCTTAAAGCTTTTGGTCTTTTTTGTTAAATTTTACACCTGGTGTGAGTGGGATGCAATACCAGGAGAACATAAAATGGATGTGAAAATGATACCAAGGAGGAGTGCATTGTAGCAGTACAGAGAAGCTACACTGTGAGTTCAATGCCTGTAAAATCTGGAAAGTTACAGAATGGAAACCAAGGTGTATCAGTAAAAAAATTGTGTGTAGAATACTAGAGTAAATAATCAGACACTGCTTTGTCTAACTCGGTCAGAACATACATCCCACCCTAATCAATAAGTGATTGTGGCAGGTACGTAAAGATAACTTCCTTCTTCTGGTCTGTACGTTGCAGCGTGGTTGCCTGCCCAGAATCGTATTGACAATCGCAGTATCCAATTGGACGGTGTACCCGAAAAATTTTCGGTAAAGTAAGTATATATGTTCAGAGTTTTTCAAGTCTTGGTGTAAAAGCTCTGTCCAGTGTGATTACTAGTAAAAGAAGTGTTAGCTATTAAAATGTCACAGTTTTTTATGTTTTGCAGATAATTTCTACAAAAGATATGGGATTGGAAAATTTTTCTTTGAATATACACTGTATCTCTAATGGAAACTTTACATTCTTTTAATTTTTTGTCTGAACTGTCGGTTTTATACCAAAACTTGGAATCTGAAGACAGTACATACTAGAATTTTTATATTTCCCGACGTCTTTCCTAATATAACAATGCTAAAAAAAATTAATTTCAATTTTTAATGACATGCAGTTGGTCACATGATTATACATTCTTGCGTATGGAAAGCAAACGCACAAGCAATTTGGAAAGTTCTGACTGTGACGTCACATGACGTCGCAGATACTTAACCTGTGTACATTGCATTTCAAAATCAAAAACAAAATAATGCCTCTATTTCTTTGGAACATGAACAAAAACGTCCTTTAGGCGTTATAGAATTTGATCACGTGACCGACTTCATGTCATACCCCAATGAAACTCTAAAAATAATATCTTATTTCTTAAATGACATATGTTTGATATCCCGAGGATTATCAAAAGGGCACCGAATGAACTCTTCGAATCTGTATCCTTCATAGAATAAAAAGAGTAGCACCTTTTTATGCTGGGCGACGCATATGCGAGTATCATATCGTTATTCTTGTACCCATGAATGAAAAAGTACCGAACGACAAGTATCCTCGGGGGCAGAATGTGAACCAGCAGAAATACACTTGGGGTTATTAAAATGAAATATTTAAATAAAACAGTATTTGAGCTCAAAAGTAAATCAAACAGCAAAAATAGGAACAGAGCGAACACGGACTTTTAAAACATCCGAGTTGGTGTAAGGTGCCATGGAGGAATGAACATCCCCTGCCTACTGGTCACAACCCAGTGTCAATCTTGTCATATTCGGTAACGAGCGGAAAATCTGTCGAATATTCAATGTGTAAATAATGGTCTTAGACTCGGTATGAAAAAGGTCAGTCGGCATTTAACTTAATAATAGATTATATTTGCTTCATCAACTTGTTTGTAAATAGGTTTCCCTTTTTCAGATATCTTTCATTTCTAAAACCTTCTCTTCTGTATCTAATCAACAGAAGGGTATAAATTCCGTATGCAGGTGATGAAGGTAAAAGTAAGGAAAGTTGCCGATTGAAAAGTTTAATCTTCTTTCTAGTAGATTATCAATATATAAAACAGTCCTCAGACGTCTGCTTCATATGAATACAAAAATAGGTATGCTAATAACGGAACTAAAATATATAATAATATACTATATAATATTTAAGAAAGGAAAGTTTTCATTTTCAGTTTATCATTAACTAATAGTTATATTTCTGATATTAAAAAAAAACTTATTTAAACATTGCTATCAAACCCTTTCCTTATGGTGCTTGCTGATTTCTAATCTCTCTTATTTTTATTATTTTGTTAAAATAACATTGAAATCTCTTGGTTGTCTTAAAAAGGGGACAGAACAGTACTGTTTTTCTTAGAATTGTCATTTTGTGATTCTGAATGACGATACTATGTTCTAAACAGGACATTTGAAGATATTACATGAAATCAGACACCATTTTTAAAGCCACTAGAAACTTTATTTGATTTTTGTAAGCATGTTTCTGTGAAGTAAAATGTTACACTTTGTTCTATTAGCTGGTTTTCTTCACCTTAATTATTTGATTTTTACAACTTTAGATTGCAAAGTTAAACATGTGTTTTATGGTAGATAAATAGCTTTAAATTTGCAAGTGTCAAAATGCATGATTTTCGTAATTAGTAACCAAATTTAAGTGCGTTTCACTATGGTATTCTGCCAATGCATATTGTCATGAATAAAATTAATTTACTAAATTACTTGCTAAGGAAAAATAAAGTGATCGACTCAAATAATTTTTTTTTCTTTATAGTTAGCGGGCATCTAGCTCATTTCAATGACTGTTTTTCACGTTTAATGTTAAATGTTATTACAATACGTTTAATGTAAAATGTTATTACAATGTGTTCAGAATATCATAATAACGTTTTAAGAATACTTTCTCTCTACACTGAGCAAAAACATTAAAACAACTGTTTCACTTTAGCTGAACACTGTGGTTTCTTTTCCAGGCACCTCTGATATGATGCAGTTTATTCAAAACCTAATTACCCTTCTTTAATCACATATTTTGTTATCTAAATGGTACACTACTTGCAAAACATAGCATCACAAACTGAGCTATAATTTTTGAAAAAGGAAATGAAAAAAAACCTTTCTTCTTATTTTTGCGCTTTCCAGTATTTAAAGTTTAGATTTTATCATACATATTCAGAATAAGCGAAGCAAAGTCCATACCGGATATTTAATGGAGCTGTCATCATGATCAGGTTTATGGGAGGGGGATGTGAAGGAATATCTCGTAGAGATAAACCCTCATTTGAGTCAGACATGGAACTGTAGGTTCAAGTATATATATGTTAAAAAATTACGAATATCAAGTTACTAATGAAGCAAATCTCTCAGTTTTTCAGTAAATACTTTTGTAGAGAATTAACAAAATATATATTAAATTTTTTTATGATTTAGGAAGTTTAGTAATATAAAAACTGGTAACCGCACAGATTGTTTTAGCATATGACTCAAATATATTTCAAATTTAGAAGAGGGAAAGGAGGGAAAAATAAAATAGCTAATTTTGATAGAAGTAACATTACCTGGGTGAAACAATGCAATATGTCAAAAAAAGAAAAAAGAAAACATGCTTGTTGGTCTCCTTCATTGAAATACTGGTCGGAACTAAAGCCATTGGTGAGTTTTTAATGAGTTGTCGACCATTTAAAAACATATTTGAGAATCGCCGAGTACTAAATAAATATAAATTATTAAAGAAAAAACATTGTTAATAATTATAATTTATTTTAAAAATGAATATTTGAATTCATTAAACTTTTGTATCCTTATATCCTACAACGGAACACTTAATTAACAAGGTGAACGATGGTGATGCCACAATCAGTAGCCTGTGGAAGCTTGACAACATTTTCAAAAAAAGGTACTTTCAATATTGGAAATCAAGTCAGCAAAATAAAATTCCCTGTAGTGGGAGGAGCTAACAGCAACTATAAATTGAGAATTTCTATCTACAATTATCTTCAGGACTTATCCAGAATGTTTGGTGGAAGAACTGTCGTTTTGGTGTGTATGGCCTTGTTTTTGGTCGCCCCAAGTGAAGGTAGGCTAACTAAGGTTGTTTTTAAGTTGTCAATGTCTTGAAAAGGCTGTTCTATATATATTTTAACTGGCATAAAACAACAGGAAATTTTCGTCAACCTCTTACGTTTAGAGAATTTTGAATTGAACATTACGGAAGCCCATTAGTGCCAACCTCTATATATAAAGGAAATGCAATATATAAAAGCAAACCTCGATATATAAAGGAAATACAATATATATAAACAAAACCTGGATATATATAAAGGAAATGCGATATATATAAACGAAACGTGGATATATATAAAG